GCCCGTCCTCCCTCTCCCCGCCGTAGCCGCACGGCCGCCCCGCGTCCGCAGCCCTCCAGCGGTGAGCCGGACCTCGCTCGTGTCTGGCCTTAGGAGTCGGGTCTTCGCGGCAGATTGCTTTTAAGGGTGAAGTTTGAGGGTGAATTCACTCCTCCTGCAAAACTTGGCTCACGAGCCTTTCAGCGGGCTCACCCTCGTTCTTAAAAAGAACTGGGAGCCGGACGACTGAGGAAGGGCAGCTCTGAGTAAACCGAGGCCTGGGACCGGCTCGAAGGGGCACGCCTGTAGGTGAGCAGCAGCGCCGAAGGCAGCCGTGGCGCGACAGCAGGCAGCTTCTGGAGACACGGGTGGGCGGGCCCCGGGAGCAAAAGGACCCAGACAGGGCAGGTGTGTGCGCAGCCCACCTGGACGTCTCCTAGACCTGGGTGGTTCCGGTCCCGGCGACGGGTGAGCTCCAGGAAGGCTCAGGGGGCCCCCGAGCCCCCGTCCGAGCTTCGGCTCAGAAAGCCGATCCCTGGCCAGGACCCCCACGCAGCCTCACGTGGCCTGTGACCTGGGTTTGAAATGTGAAGTGGGTGGACAGGGCACCAGTGACATTTTCTGACAACACAAAGGACGGAAATTGACGTTTCAGCGCAGGCAGAAAAGCTGCTCCGGCTCCCGGCCGGACGCGTCAGGTCGCGCAGCCCTGGCGCCAGGGCAGAGCCGCATGGCCCCCGGCAGCCACTGGCCCGCAGGGCTTCGGCTCGCGTGGGGCAGGTGGCAGTCTGAGCTCTCACTGGGGCGCAGGAGGTGCTGGGTCTTCCTGCAAGCTCGCCTCAGACGCGGCAGCCCCGTGAGCTGTGTCAGCGGTGACGGAGACGCTGAACTGTACCGAACAGCTTGCAGCGCCATGCCCGGAGGCCCCGTGGGCACACCGCGCCGTAGCGCGCGTCCCTGGCCGCCCGGCAGCTTCCCCTGGGACCTGTTCGCCACGCAGAGCAACCGGAGACGCGGGTGGCGCCTCACGAGCAGGTGAGGGCGGGGGGCTGGCCGGGAGCGCAGCGCTGTGCACGGGGCGGGTTTCTTCCCGGAGGAGCCCCGTGTGGGGGCCACCCTGCCGCAAGCAGCCAGGAAGCAGGGCGCCCACGCGCCAGGCGCCGCACCATGTTGCTCGGAGTGGGGAGGTGTCGGGATGAGCCCGATCGGCCCCCTGGCTGGACGTGGGCCCAGAGTCAGGTTGCGAGGGCCCGTGGGTGTCGAGAAGCCCCGCGAGTTGGCAGGGTCCCCGACACAGGCAGGCGGCAGCTCACTGGGTGTCTTGGGAACAGCGTGCTGACACCTGCAGGCCGGCCAGGGGGCGCGGACAGCCCACGCCTGCCGGTTCGGAGGCTTCAGGTGAGTGGAGGAAGCGGGTGACGGTTTTGCGCCTCATTACTCTGCAGCGCACCGTTAGAGTTCGCTGCGGTGGCTCCGCCCAGTCAGTGGGCGAGCGTGGCAAGGGTGGCCCTGCCTGGGCACTGGTCTCAGCCCCCACCAGTGCTGGAGGCCAGCATTGCAGTGTCCCTCAAAACAGGCCAGAGGTGCGGGGGTGAGAGGACGCCCCAGACAGAGTGGAGAGCAGAACAGGCTGAGCCACGAAACCCACTGCTGAGGGGAGCAGAGGACAGGAGAGGGCTGCTGCGCCCCAGGGTCCCTCCCTGACGGGAATGGACTCAGGCCACGGGGGCTGTGGACAGCGTCCTCGTGCTGACACCCCTGCGCCCGCAGAAAGGCACTCAAAAATACTTAGAAGTGTTACCCTGCTGGGAGAAATAACGGGAAGTCACCTCCACTGCATGGCGGTTTTGCTAGACAGGTGGGGTCTCCCGTCCGGGACTGGCGAGGAGGTGGGGACTGGATCTCTGGGCCTGGTTGCCAGGAGGGGGAGGCCGGGCAGCGCCAGTGTGTGAGCTGTGCCATGGGCCAGAGCCGCCTCTGGGCAGCTCGTGTGCACCCGGCTGACAGCACCGCCCACCACGGGGTCAGGGCGCCGGTCCCCGTGCCTGTTCTTACTGCTTCGGTCCGGGCGCGGGGCCTGGGCCGCCGTGCGGCCGTGTGTGCTGTGACGGGGGTCTTGGCACCGGGTGCGAAGCCTGAGGGTGCTGCCCGCCGCTTCCCGCCAAACTGCCTTCGCGGTCGCGGCGCCATTAAAGCCGCGCCTGCTCCCGGCGCCTGGGTCTGCGCGGTTCTTAAGGCCGCGTCCCAGGTCCAGTCGGCCGTAGTTTCCAACGGGAAACCTCGTGCGTCTGGAACTGAGGCCCGGGAACGGTTAGGGGACTGGACGCGGGTCCTGAGAGCCGCGGGGCGGGGCGGGGCGGCAGCTCCGGACAGTGGACATTCCGGCTCCCTGGCCGTGGGCCGCTCCGCCCCAACCGGCCGCCCTCTCGGCCTCCAGAAACCGAGACCCCGGCCCCGTTTGTGCGTGTTTGGAAACGGGGTACCTAGGGAGCCCCCTCCCAAGCGCGCGGGTCTGCCCTGCTGCCCCTGTCCAGCTCGCGGGTCGCCAGGCTGGGTCTTGCCGCCAGGCCCTGGAAGGGCCTGCGGAGCCGGGAGCTGCATGGGCGGGAGATGCGCTGCTGCCGCCGCCTGGGGCTGAGGACTTGGGGGGGGGTAAGGGGGCCGGTTGTGGCCGGGCGCCAACCCCCGCCCCGGACTCAGCGGGCCATGCAGAGACGTCCCTCCACGCCTGATTGTCCGCTGTTGGGTCGCTGAGGGCTCGCGGGGGCCGCCAGGGTCGGTTCTAAGTCAGTCCCGTGGCCTCCGGGTCCGCGTGCACCCGGCCAGCGGGCAGGGGCTGGGCGTCCAAGTGGGCCGTCCTCGTGGCCAGC